CTTCGAAGCGTTTGATATCCAGTTTGTTGACATCGCCACCGCACAACACAACTGTTTGTGGATGTTTGTCTAGTATATTATCCACGGTATTTACAAGATGATTCATTAGATCGATCTCTGCATAATTAAATTTTGGGGGATGATAAATTCCACATATTACAAATCGATGTCCCTTGGGAAGTCGCAGAGTTATACAAATTAATTCATAAAGACTAGAGCGGTAAACATCCTCTACTGCAAGATTGTTCCTGATGTATATAGCAATCCCACCCTTATTGCGCATATCTCTGCCATTCCAATTTCTGTCTCTACGAAAGATGGAATAGTTCTCAATATTTACAATCGCATCCGGTTGTGCCGGTTTGAGGTGTGTTTCCGATACGACACAAACATCAATATCTTTAGATCGCAAGTCAGCCTCAAGTCCAACCGCCGCACGCACTTTGTTCTTAGTTTTTGCGAGACTGCAAATATTGATGAACATACACTTGGGAACGGCAAACTCCGAGCAATCGGTAGATGATTTAGTAGGCTCTCGAGGAATAGCTGTAAGATATCTGTTCTTAGCGGGATCTTGGAAGCGATAAGGTCTAGCAAACCGCCGGGTTTTAACAACTTCAATGGGTCGACATCTGTCGGAGTGTTGCGATGCAGAGATATTTTTAGTAATTTTCCCCAATCTTCGTAATCCCGGACCTCTGTATTTCAGAATTCCCAGGGATTTAAGGGTATCGAAAACATGAGGCGCAGGTCGGCCCGCCGAACGTCTCAGCAAAGTAGCCTGTCACGATTGTGAGAGCAATGGATTCTGACTGACCCAATTGCAGGTTGACAAGCAGAGTCCGAGGAGTTGGAGCTCTGTTTTCGTTTACCGTGGTCATTATCCACTTCTTCAGGTCCAGGATGTGGATGGACATCCATATTAACAGTAATGTCGAGCACAACAAACTTCTCAGGGGCGGCCAGGAAGACCATGCCTCGACTGTCCCATTTCACCATAGCCCTTCTTACCCGGAGATTTCGAGACCGGGATACTCTCAGCTCAAATCTAGCCATCCAACTAATGCATCTTGATGTTAAAGATTGATTTCGATAAGCTCTTTCGACTGTTATCATAGTTATGAAGGTAAAAATATAGAAAACTGCAAGAGCTCTAAAGAGCGTGGCAGCCATATTGGCATGCATATATAATAATAATAAAACTCCTTCTTGCTGGCAGCCATATTGGATTCTCTACAGATCGCCAATCATTGTGTGTAATTACGGCAGTGAAAAGACCATTCTAGGAAGAATCTTCGTATGGCCAGCAATTTTTCAGGGGATAAACGGGACGATAGGTAAGCAAAGCAATTCTGAACGTCGAATTCGCGGTTGTGTGGTTATGTTGAATAACTTAAATTTCTTGCTCACTTTGCAGTCGAAAACCTCTGTGCGGAAAAAGCAGAAAATGCAGTAAGCCTAATTCTCACCAAGGACGCTGTGATTCTAGTAGAACTTTTCACGCATTCTGGAAGAGTTCATCTTCACACGTAGCTTTGAAAAGAAAAGTAGAGTTACAAGAACAAAACAAAAGGTTATCACAGGACATTGAAGCGAAAAAGGCTCGGCTGGATGAATATGGTAATACTATAACTTTGAGTGTTTTCGAAACGTGCAAAAGATTTCATTTTTACCACCATGCTACTCTGAAGTTCGAACGGAAAATTAAGTTATGTATATACAACATTCTGTTCCTTTAGTATTTTATTTACATGTGATTGCAAAAAATGTTGAGATCTAATTTCTCTGTTTGTTTTTTTTGGTTTTTTTTAAGAGGGACAAATACAAACTTCTGTTGCTGAGAAAGATGCAGTAGAAGAAGAGCTACAAAGCCTTCAAAAGAGTGTGGAAGAAAAGGAAGATCAAGTAAAGCAACAAGAGGAAAAAGTAACACAATTAAATGAGCAATATCACAAATTTAAATCTCTGCTTGAACAAAAAGGCTTTTCAGTAGCTAGGAGAAAAAATGTTAGTACAACTTATGATATGATTACAAATGTCAATTCCAGCACTAAGTACAGACGAAGACAGGAGACAAAAAATGTATTAGAATTTATTCATGGGGGAAAGGAAGGGTCAATATATGGGGCTTGGGATTATATTTCATCTACTGCTGACAATCAAACCATGGACACACTGATTTCTGGACTTAAACGAGGGAAATATCTCTAGGGTCTGTTTGACAAGACAATGAAAGGGTATCAAAATTCCGATGAGGCTTTGAAACAAGCTGTCTTTATGAAGTACCAGAACTTTCTGTCTTGCAGAAAGTATGCCCTTGTCTGCAAAACTCAGTCTTCAGTTTTTGATCCAAACTCTGATCTATGGGTACCCCGTAACATAAAATGTTTAGGTTTGGACTTAAGGGTGCCAAATATAGCTATTTCTGACAAACGGGTGGAGAATTTTGTGAGAAGTCTTGACATTGGTCATGTTAATTGAAATTCCCAATGCACCGGGTGTTTCCAGAACAATAACTGGGTTGGTTTTTATGATAATTGATCTGCACCTTAGACTTCCCTATTTATTCCATAAGCTAATTTGGTTTAATGACAACATAAATCATTTCATCATGCAATTTTCTGATAATGGGGCCCCTGAGTCAAGTCAGCTAACCATGTCAATTGTCAGCCTAACATCATGGAATTTTGGGGACAGGGTGAGAAGCAGGGATTTCCAGTACATTTTACATTGTGTCAGTCGGGGGGAGAAAGATGAGGTGTTACAAAGTATCTGGAAGCAACACACTGATGAAATGGAAATGTTAGAGGGTAATGTATTTGTTGTTTCTAACAAGCAGTGTACTGTAGAGTTTCAGCCCAGTGCTGATATGAGCTGGCAAAGCTGGGCTAACAATGAGTTAAATCAAGCTGCCACTTACCCATCTCCTTATGCTAACGTAAGCAAAGGAAATATGTGTACTATGGGTGCCTCTATTGGGATAGGGGAGGAAGATTTATTCAAACCTTATACTCTGGAGGTCAGAAATTCCCATGTTAAGAGGGTAAATGAGTTTATGATTTCCCTGCCATCTTCCCTGAGTGAAAAAAATCGCCACTCTAGAAAACTACAGTTCATGGCAGAGAATGGGATTCGCCAGTTAGGCACCCCCCAAATTGGAATTTTTGCAGAGCGGCAGCGCCCAGAGCCTATCCACTGTGAAATTAATGCATGGCAACATGTGTTAAATATCATATACAGGGTAGCAGCACAAAGAGGTGCTTTTACCAAATTTATTGATATATTAATTGCCTCGGCTGTAGAAAGGAGAGCTGATCAAGGAAATGGTAATGGGAATAGAAAATCACAAGTTTATGTTCCACATGATGATGGTGCTGGAGATCTACTAGGGTTAATTTTGTTAATGCCTCTAACCAAAAGTTTGTATGTGACCTGGGCAATGCACTGTCAAGTAACCATAAGGAAGATTTTGGTTAACTTGGTTGTGGGTTGGGGTATTTAGCTTCTATGATTAAGGATCACTATAATGATGAGGCTCAGAGGCACAAGAAGCTTCCAGTACGGTTGATAGGAGACCAGGCCATTGCTTTGGCAAACTTTTCTTTTAGGCTCATTGATGCCCTTAAAGTCTTAGATGAATCCCCAGCCCAGAAACTAGAAAGATTAGCATTAGGAAAAATTGCACAATTCCTTAGGAATGCTGGGGCTCTTTTTAACAAAATTGAAGTTAGCCCTTCCTACCTTAGTGAGCTCACATAATTTTGTACACTTTATTTTAATTTATATACATTATTTTTTTCATCAGATGTTAATGTAACTGTGTGGACAGTAGGGTATGCCATACCATACCATGCAACTAAACTGTATGAAAGTTACAAAGTGGGTTATGGTATAATATCATTACAGGCAAAAGAGGCTAAACATTCAGGGGTTAAAAATGACTTGGATTTGACAAACAGATCCAATAAAACAACTGAAAAAGGGAAATGGTGGTAAGTCATGAGAGCTAATTATGTAAGAGCATTTTATTTGCCAGAACATCAACCAATGCCAAGTTCTTATACTTCTCATTTTAAGTCTCGGCTTCCTTCTCAGCTAAATTCAAGCAACTTTTGCAATTGTGGAAGAGAAAAGGAAATTAATGATTATATATGTGAGGTATGTGTAGATGCCAGGGTGACTGTCCAGTGTGCAGAGGGACAGCAACTAATACCTGAAGTACTTTCATCATTAAAACCAGTCCTATGCTCTGTATGTAATGAGAGATTTCCTGATACTGTAACATACGAGGCTCATAAAAGTGTTCACTTATGCAGCAAACAGCCTGTTGGTCCAGCTACAAATAGCCGTAATCTAAACCCTAGAAATATGAAAGTAAGTGACCTAAAAATGGAGTTGCAAAGTAGGCAATTAAGCACTAGTGGAAACAAAGATGTTCTTATTAGACGCCTTGAGGGTACATTAGCAAGTGAGACTATATAGAATAAGACTTTTCACTGTCAATGTATCACCAGAAAGCTCCATAATCATATTTTATTACCATTTATAAAGTTTACATAAGTTTATTTTTTAACCAGGTAAATTTTAACTGCAATGTCAGCTAAGATTATTTATCATTGAAGTTGTAATAAAATTTAAAATAATATATTTTACACACCAGATGGAAAGCTAAATATATTTACAGGAAATACAGTGTCTAGAAAATTTCAACATGAGACCATGTTGACACAGACGTGTAACTAATGTATGTTTGAAAAAAAAGCTACAAACTCGTGTTTCTTTGATCAACACTAACCTCACAATATTAATTAATATTACCTTGTTTATTCATGAGACTTTCTAAGCTTTTGTCGAAAACAAAATCCTCTGCCGTGTACTGAATATAAAATGTCACCATAGCCTTCTGACTTTTGAGGTTGTATTCAACAACAAAAGGAGTGTTTTTAGATACAACAACGGCTGACCTGCCTTTGTAAACAGACGACAGCTTTCCCTTTGATTTCGGTTGTTGACTGAAATGTCTTTTTCTAAGAACATCCTGGCCTTCGAATCTCGCCGGCGAAAACACTTTCTCCACTGCTTGTATACAAGATAGTGTCGAAGTAATTTTTGATTTTCTTTCATTAAATTTCACTTCTCCACTATAGCCCCTGAACAAAACTGTTATGTGACGAAATATCTGCCACGGAATGAAGATGACAACTGGGCCTACCAATGATGTTGCTTTTGAGCGACTTAGTTTCGAAGCAATCTGCTCTCCAATTTCTAAAAGGTAGCCATCCACCAGTGGACCACAAAGCTCAAGTTTGTTGCCGCAAACCTCTTCCAGTCCGCTATTCATCTTCCCCATACCATAGTTTGGTCGTCTTTTTGCTCGCCTCTTGCCTTCATCCACTCCCGCTCAAAAGAAAACTTCAGCTCCAGTTCACTTGCGTTCCAAAATGTTTTTCCCCTCTCTGAAAAATCTGTTTGGCCTCTTAAATCGAACACGACTTCACTTGAATTCGCCGCCATTTTGCTTTACGTTGGAATACTAATGGCAATTACCGCAGACATTCACGCGCCCGCGCTTCCGGGAGGAAAAAACCTAGCAACGAACCACCGTGGTTCTTCAGTAGAACTATCAAATCTCGCATCTTTAAATTATGTGTTAGAGCGATTAAAATTCTTGAAAGGTGAAAAAAAAACATTATTTTGCTCCAGAACAAATTTCCCAAATTCCGCCGGCCTTATTGAAATAGATAATAGAACAGCACTTAGATGCGTATCTCATTGTTGTATCTCAAAGTTCAGTTAGTTACTATTACCCACAGAAAGCAACCATTTTTCCAGCATAGAGGAATAGATATAGCGTCTCTGACTTTCCGTTTTACTGGATAAGATCGCTCACAATAGAGAAAGGGAAATATTGTTGTGTAAAAACGTAGTATAATTACTTGGAAGTTTGTTTACAATAGGGGAGGGTAAGGCTATCTGGTCGTCAAGGTAAATCCAGTTTAATTTAAATAAATCACAAAGAGCTGTGTTTTTGATAAATTTGATCGATGGGCAGATCGCCTTTTCCGATGTGCCTTTTCTAAAAGTATTTCTTTTATTAAAGCGCGCGTAGAAACGTTTGAATAATTCATAATGTGTCATTATGACTACTTATAAGCTAAAATACGAGTAGCCAATGTCAAATTTTCAACACTGAATAGAATAGCAACCTACTGAACGAAATTAAATATTAACAATTGCATCATTCGGAAATAAATAAGGCCTTTAAATGCTAAGGACGCAATTACACACTCCTGTTTAGGTTTTAAAACATTAATAACAAATTGAAACGCCAAGAATGGAATGATGTATTTCCAATGTCCTAAAACTACAAGTACAGAATATTTTTCTATCTTAGGTAATAGGCTGATAGTAAAATTAATAACTTATGAATCAGTCGAGTCTAAGCTCCTTTTACTGCTTCTAAAGAATCTATAAACACCGCAAATCTTGTTGCTTCGTCGATATGCCCTTTATGTATGGTATGGTTACGACCACAGCCACTATACCATACATAAAGGGCATATCTGAGAACATCTCACGCATCCTACAACCATTCAATATTTGCGTCGCTCACAAACCTATTACCACACTACGTCAGTTACTGATTGACATCAAAGACAGAGAAGAACCGAGGAACAGACAAGGAGCAGTATATAAGATCAATTGCTCCGATTGCCACGCCTCATGCATTGGTGAGACTGGCAGAAACCTCGCAACTAGACTGACTGAACACAAACGAGCGACGAGGAAAGGCGATGTCAACAATCACATTGCTGAACATCAATGACTTACGAACCATACTGTTGACTGGGACTCTGCGCAATGCCTAACCTACAGCACCAACTACTTTCGACAACTGACCCAGGAAAGCTGGTTTACTAACTTGGAACAGACTCCCCTCAACAGGTGTCAACCACTACCGGCACCATACAAACGACTCATCCACGACATTGACATTACAAACGAACCGAACAGAACGACCTAACTTCACTAACGGATCGAAACCGACCAATCGCGACTGACCTACGCCACTTGAGTCTTACAGCCAATAACATCCCGGCAAAACTGACCAATCAGTGTACACAAACCGGACTAAGTACATTCGACTTACAACAACCTTTCACTTGACTCTGATGATGACTTCCGCTCAGGTTGTCCAAACGTCAGCCACCACTACCGACAACAGTCCTTCTCAGGACTACACTCACCCGGACGATCAAACTACACCGTTAGAAGTTTTTATAGTTATTTATTCATTGATAAAGTTTTAAATAGAACATTTCAAGTAATAATTAGTTATATGTTACATATCTTATTTAGTATGAATCACATTTAATTGTTATTTTGTATTCCAATTATCATTATTTTTATTTTATCTTTAGTTTATTGTAATTATTATGTTACGGCGCATTTGAATATATATACATAGAATTTGCGCCTTAGAAGTCAATAAATTATTACTACTATTATTATTATATTTGTCTGATCGTCCAGGTGAGAGTAATCCTAGAAAAAACTTTTGTCGGCTATAGTCAGGTACGTTTTTACAAGCTGAGAGTAGTCACGAGAGCGGTCATCGTACGCGTCGGTGTAAAGTGAGTCCAGAGAAAGTTATCAAGTAATAAAGATAACCTTTAACTGGAAAAATAAGGGCTTTTAAAATCATACTTAAATTGAAAAAATAAAGAGGATTAAAATCAAATTTGTTCATCCACAATCGTGAGACTGTGATGTTGAGTGGAGTCCTATAGCGCATAGCTGTGTTCATTAGTCAATGGAGTAGGTTGGAAAGTGCGAAAAGGACTTGTGCCGTTTTCCGCACAATCCTCTCCTCAGACCAAGAGTCTGGACAAAACCGACAGAAAATAGTCGGTTGCAGCGACTCGAATCGACAACATGAGCAGAAGTCACCATCAGAACTCATCAAGAGAGGAGTTAATGGTCAATCCAATTTGGTGGCTAGATACCGTGCTTGCAAGCTATCAGAACTAGATTGTCTTACAGAAGTTAAAAAAACACACAAACTACAGAGTCAATGTGTGCAAAAATGCATGCTTTTTTTTTAGTGGGTGGGGGGGGATTGGGGTAAAAGTGACACTAGTTGTTTTATAAGTTTTCGTTTAAAATTTTTTGAGAAGGAATTGCCATAGGGCTGGCCAAAATTGATCCAATAGCGCATGCCCAGCCAACGTTTTACCGCTACGTTGTTTCCCCCTCCTCACGCACGTCTACATAACCTACGCCCATCGTGGTGTGGGCTCAGATTTAGAGCTCCGCACCAAGCCACCATTGCGTGGTGGAAAAAGAATTTTCAGTGCACTTGTGTTTAGGGATTGATAATGTCATAGAATCCAAAGTTATCTTCGTGCTCCAGGGCACCTGTACTTGGATCCCAAGAGCAACCGTTTTTCCGCTCCAGTACGAATCAGTATGCATATGTTGGGTATCTCGCTGCACAAGCATCCCCGAACAATTAGTGCAACTTCTTCCTCGAACTGAGATGTACTCGTACCTCTGACAGCTGTCTTGATTGACAAATGTCAGGATGTCCGTGTCTTGGAGAGTAGCGCGTGCGTAGTCGGTGAAATTAAGGCCTGACGGGAAATTGCACGTCACTCGCCAGTGCGTCGAGTTGTGTCGGATGTTGACCATTGCTTGGTAGGATACTCGATAATCATTCCAGTTGAATCTTGTCTCGTTTCTGGGAAAGTTGTAATATAAAGGCTTTTGGTTGTAAAAATCCTTATTTCCTAAAGAGAATGACTCGATGAGAGTCCAGACTTTTCTGGGTTTCGAGTCAAAATCACAATAACTCTGAGCCGTATCATTAAGCTTATACACGCCTGACTTAGACTCTGGTTTCAGCTTTAATAAGATAGGCATGAATTGACTCTTGGATGGAATATCTCACATCTCTTTCCCTGGTAATGCTGTGGACATGTGCAGTTGTATTGTTTCCTGATGTCATCGCAATTTTCTGCGCATGTGCCTCCATTAAGGCAAGGTTTCGATTGACAGCAGCCATTCAGGCATCTGTCATTTTCCTGAAAACAAACACGAACAGCAATAAAATTAAAATTAAAATTTCCCTGAATAGAATTAGGGGTCGTTGTTCTTTTTTTGTCTTTTAAAAAATGAGTATTGCGACGAAAAAAATTTTCAAAGAAACTCTTCATTTCATACAAGGCGAATATTTCGAAGCGACTCATCCCCGCCATGAATCATGATAAATGGCTTTCCAATCAATTTTGGCTTGATCATCTATATTTTCCGGCTTTGAAGAAGTCTTCGAAATTTTATTCACTCTACAAGAACACAAACTTACCCTCACGCCGTTTTGCTGTACATGATACAAAACAGTTCCTGGTCTTTTCACTCGCTTTCCGATGGCTCCATCAATGTCCGTGTCCAGAAGCTCACATATTTTTCCACCGAGTTGAAACGCAATGCAGTCGCAGTGTTTAGCACAGTGACGAAAACACTCCCAGGGGTCCCGCACGCTTTCAGTCTGAATTGTATGATTTTCTATGCTGAAGTTCTCCACGAATATGTTGTTGATGTAGATCAGCGGTGTTTTCATTTGGTTGCTCGCCGTAGTAATTGGAGGGATTAGCAGAAAAACTGTCCCAAAATTGAGCCTTAGAAACGTGAAATATAAATCCATCTTACTCTAGAAGAAATTTAAATGAAAAGGTTGTCGTTCTTTCGAATAAATGGAGAATGAAAACTCCTTGACAGCCTGCTTTTAATGAAACTGGAAGCAAATAAACAATGAATAGCATCTATTAGTGAAAAATAAATAATCGGGTATTTGTTCACGGACATTATCTTTTTCGAGAAGGGAGAATTTTTTAGCACGAAGCAAAAATAAAAACTACGGAGCCCTTGAGCACGAATTTCCACCTCAAATGAAAGCAAATTCTTTGTGTATCGGAGGTCATATGTTTCATTTAACACGTAAAAAAGTTGTTTAAAAAAGTTTACTGAAAAAAACCACATGTATTTGTTGAGAAAATATAGAAGCATGTTAGCAAGCCTTTGTTAAAAGTTTACTTTTTAAGTGCGATTTCTTTCTAGAATTTCTGTATCTTCCGAGAATAATACACACATACAACAAAAAAATTCAAGTGACAAACAAAACCGCTTTCTCTAAAAAACTCTATTACCATCAAACTTCTTGTAAAATATGCATTATTTCTGTCCCCAAACTGACATTCGATATCTTTTATCTCCTTGAGGCAGGTGTATTTGAAATGGAGAATAATTTGTGGATAATAATTTCAAGTGAAAGGAAATGGATTTTAAAACATGATGAAAGAATTTTTCTTTTTTCAGCAATGATGCTTCCATCAGCCTCAGTATGCTGTGAGTTAGCAGGAGAAAGCTCTATAATCATGCTAGAAAACAAATTGAAAACAAATATTTGGCTTCAGTTGTCACGTCACCTTTAACTTTGCCAAAGGAATATATTTTTTTAAAATTAAATCGAGATTCATGTTTACAATTTAGCCTATTTCATCGGAACAACTGCCATATACTGCTAATTCAGGGCGTAAGAACAAACTTGTATCACGACAGAGGAGTATCACGTGTCCTACGGAGATTTTGGAAGATCAACTTTTACTACGATAGGGAGTTAATACAGGCGTTCAATAAGAATTTTAAGAACATTTTGACTGTACTCATATTCAGATACAAATCCTGGTGATTTCTGTGCTATAAACGATTCCTCATCCCTCATCGACTTAACAAGCGCAAGAATTTGTCAAGGATGTAAACCATGAAGTCAAGAAATGAAAAAAAACTAGTCCCGTTTATCATATGCGAAGTTGAAAAACAAAAGTTTCCAGTAAGTAATAAAAAGCCTTATAATTTTTTTTTTTTTTTTTTTTTGTTTTTTTTTTTTGTTTTTTTTTTTTTTTTTGAGGATATAGCCCTAAGTTCATTTTGAGCGATTTGTTAACTTGTCGTAGGCTAATAAATGATAAAGTAAACAAAGCCCTCGTTGTGCAGGGCTCATTTATATAACATTTGTGCAAATTAATTCAAATTTAGACGCACGCAAGAGTTCAGGGAAATTTAATTTTTTTTTTTTTTGACTCGTGCATTATAGATGAAAGAATTCTTCTTAGGAAGCTTTAATGAAATTTTTTCAATACAATTGCTTGTTGTAATAACTGCGAACTAGAGAAGTACTTTTCGTAAACGGCTGCATGTATGTCGGCCTCATGCCACTCAAAATAACGAAAATGTCTTAATTGAGAAGGCGCATCATTCTTCCAATAGCTCGTAATTTTGTTGTCTCCGCCGCTTTCATATGACGCCAGTAAGTTAATCGAAGAAAAAAAGTGAGACGGGCATAATGTTTGACCACAAACCTAAAAGGAATTTCCCGATACAATGAACATATTCTCTGCGGCAAAGACTAGAACTGCTTCTAGATCGAGAACTTTTTTTACTTTTCTTTCTTATCTTCAAGAGAAGGAAATTTGCAAATAAACAATAATTAGGGTTAGTAGTATATAAAGAAGAGGATTTCAATTTTTTTTTCCGTTTTAAATATTCGCGTGGGTTTTACCAAACGACACAAGCCACTTTCATGCTACACGAAAGTGCGAGAGTCAAATGAATTTGCACTTGACTGTTTCATAGGTCACTCATTTTACTACTTTCTTATGATATCATAGCCTAAGATAGAAAAACTTTATAGTTGTAATTTTGGAATATTCTAAATACATTATTCAGTTCCACGTATTTAACAACTGGTTCATGCTTAACGTGCGTATACTGATTGAGATGCGCGGGTTATTAAGCCAGTAAACCGATAAAAAGTGCAGTCTGTTGCTTTTATGAAATAAATTTTCATTTTTTGTTGGTTTACTTGCGCATTAATTTTTGCAATATCTCGGCTACTATGTAAAGAGATACACCGTGGTGGCTTAATACGAATCAAGTACAGTGTAACACTTCCTCCCAAGTCACGTTTTAATTCAATGTTTTCCGTGACGAGAACTTTTTATTTAATGCTTAAAAACTCAAACACCATTACACAATCGCGTGCTTGGCAATTGAAGGCATTATACAATTTCCGATGAGGCCATTTTTTAACTCGTGAATTGCGCGCATGCGCAAGAGCGAGTTATAGATACGATGTGGTGAATAGCATCCGCTCGCTCGCTCGCTCGCTCGATTGGTCGATTCCTGTAAACTTTTTTCCATTTTAGGCTTTTGAGTGCATTTGATAGTTTTTGGCGAGCAATAAACAAACGAAATGGCGACCTTTGTTGCTAAGAATAGTGGTGGGGTGAAAAAGAAGCCAATAATAATCTTAAAATAGTGGTTTTTTTTCGTTTTAGTTTCAACAAGCGGCGCCAGCGACTGGCAGGCATGCTAGGATATACACTGAAATAACAGAACAGCCTTCGTTTTTCATAAAATTGCAATTCACAATCCTTGAACTTGAAAACAATCCGAAGATTCATTGAAAATATCACTTACTGCGAAGCGCACGGAGTTTACAGATGTTCAAAAGCTTTTTCTGTTATGGCGTGAGATTGAGGACAAAATCGATCATTACGTTTTGTATCGTGTGTTTTTCCTGTGTGAAGCAACAAAAGATACCGGCGACTGACGAAATTACAAGTAAACACGAAAATCAAATAACGCCTAAACAAACAATTTTAGCTACCGATTTTCAGTGAATTTTTAACGAACAATTTTCTTTTAAGGTTCAAGACAACTTGAAGATTCAAAATACGTATTACGTACTAAAATGCGAAAGTTATACAACACAAAATTGATAAATAGGCCTGAAATGAAATTCTATCTTGTTATTGATTATACGTTGCCTAGTACGTGACTAAAATCTACCCAGGCGGAGATCCAAAATGACGGTGGCAGTCTTGGCTTAGTTATATCACTCAAAACTCGTTCCCGTTTGTCTCATTTGATAAAGAGGGAATCGTTAATGTTTTCATTAAGACAGTATTGCCTTGATTTTCTAATTTTTGCAATGATAGACAATAAATTTCACTTTTCACCCACATTTATTTCCAACCTTTTCTTTTGAACCAGAAACAAAAATGATATACGTTTAAAACACATGACATCATCCACCCTTGTCAAATGTAATAGCATGATCATTTCAATTTCAATTACTTTGTTTCTTTGCTACATTAGCGAACACTGAACTACTGCTTGTACTCTAGATACGACAATCAACCACAAAATTCCCTAAACCAGATAACATTAAACATAATCCAAAAAATCATGTGTCAATTGACGAGTTTGTTCATAGAGCACTCTGATTAAAATTCAATTTTGTTCAGCGGGTTGCCATTCTATTCAACACCGATAAATGACATGGGTTGATTGCTTTGCACCTTGTTGGTTGACATAATAGCACATTTGAATTCTTCAAAAGAATTGTAGGAGGACTCTAAATCGTCTTTGAACAAGTCATAGTGTAGGAAGTATATTCTGCAAAATGGAGGGCAATCACTCCGAGCACGAAAATTCCTGTTTCTATCTTGGTGATCCATCCTTCCATAAAGCTCATGAACGGTTTACAATCAACCTTGTTACAGCTATCATTAACATTGTGACAGTTCCAGTCGGTGTTATTGCAAATTTACTGATTGTCACCGCCATCTTTGGCTGTCCTCGTCTACGAACTCCTTCTAATCTGTTGATAGCTTCTCTGGCGCTTTCTGATTTGTTCGTATCCCTAACAGTCCAGCTCGGATATATCACATACAGGCTTTTGGAAAACCAGCTTCGTCTAGTTCCTTGTTTTGTGAGGATTATGTATCATCTGGCTTTTTTCAGTTGCTTTGGAGTGTCTTTTATGACTTTGGGTGCTGTCAGCTATGAGCGCTTCGTGGCTGTTCGACTGCAAGTCAGATACAATGATTTCTTCTCTTCGACACGAGTTGTGAAATATGTTCTGATCATATGGACCCTAAATATTTTGTTAACTGCTCTAAAATGGACTTCTATTGAATCCGCAGTCGAAAACATCCATCTCATGGTATGGTCAGTTTGCTTTCTCGTTTCTGTAGCTACGCAGATTGGCGTTCTGTACGTCGTGCGAATACAGCGTGAACAAGTCCAGCCGCAACTCCAAGGCGCTGAAAATCGCCAGAGACAACGAGAGGCCAAGCTCGCGAAAAACATATCTATCCTCGTCGGGTGTACTTGATTTTGAACTTTCCTGTGTTGTTAACTTTAATATATGATCAATTATTGAGACTAAACTTACAAACTAACAACCACTACAGCTGGACGGAGACGCTTGCCTTTTTAAATTCTTGTACCAATTCATTAATATGCTATTGGAAAAATGTAGAGGTGCGTCAAAAAGTTAAAAATATCTTGAAGAAGCTGGTTTGTCAATAAATACCACGTTTACCGGAAGGTGCTAAGAGTTTGTATCTGGCTTTTCAATTTATATTTATTTCTTGTGTTTTCTAATTAGCTAAAAAGTATTGTTACATCATCTGCCACTGCTAACTTTCAATTGAGAAGTGACCTTTCTATAGTTTTCTATAGTTCCTAAACCTAACATGTTTGGGTTTACCGAAAGTGTTGTCGTTATTGTCGTTTCTGTTGTTTGTTATTCTTGTTATTTTAATTAAGAATTTGTCAGGGACGAATCACTCACTTGGCGTGGGAAGTCATTTTTTAATGCTGCTGTATTTTACGCAGATCCAAAGTGCTCGAGAGTATGCCAGTAGACCAGAAATGGAAGTAACAAATCTTTTTATCCCAAAGGACTTAAAACCCCAACCGGGAAATGAATAATACATGTAGAAAATGCTGTCTTCCAAAAGAAAAATACTAATTAATTGTTAAATCATGAGAAAAAAGTTCACAGAATCCATTTTTGCCGGAACTTAGTATCCAATCCCTTGTTGCCGAACGTATTTTAGAAAGGATATTTATAGTAAGTTATACCGTGTCTTATACATCTTTAGACACGAAGGTATCAGTGTTCAGAGTAGCCTTACCTATGAATATACTATCAGAAGAGAGTTTGTTGGTCATGTGTTTTTAAAGCATAAGATCATATGGTAAGTCTTATCTAAACTTATCCCTGAACCTTAACAAGTGTTGACAACTTGAAAAGTTTGTTCTAGAAAATATGACTTATTCAAAATTCGTTACCCTTTGTGGCCGCTGTCAGGAAAAACACAAGAATACTTAGATTACTTACAAAATAATATAGCTTTCAAGCAAAGGCACCTTCCCCTCGTAATAAAATTATAGTGTTTTACTACTTAAGAGCAAAATCCGATTTATTTGTTATCATGAAAATAATAGGATAGCATACTTGTCTGAAACTAAATTTAGAGAAAAAAAAAATCGCATTTCCAGAAATGTTACCTGACATGTTCCGTTTCTGTTGCAATGAGCAAATTTTGGGGTTTCTCGTGACTCAGTTACGAGATGATGTACGAACAGGCTTTTCATACATCATCTTTAATAATTGTCCTAGGTTTCGAAAACACGATATTCGACGCGCTACAAAACATATGCATGGTCAAAACTTACATGTTCTATTTTCTTAATATGTCCTCGCTCTTAAGACTAATTACTGTTTAAAAATATTATTTTTCCTGCACTTCATAAGTGTAAACCTAGTAATATTCTAGGTGCGGAAGAACATTTTTATTTTTAACGATACAAGTCATTTTTCTCAAATTATTTAACGCTGAGTTAACTACTCCAGGCGCCAAAGACCACTCCGCTGTTAATAAATTAGAAAGATATTAAAGAAAAAACCTTTAAGTGGAAACTTCTAGTTTAATTGTTTGGGTGTTATATCCCATTCACTGGGGAATGGATTATTCATAGGCTAGGTCGGCATTTTTCGTTTATGCTTGATGTCTGCCTTCGTTGATTTCTCACGCAGGAGAAGCTTTCAAAAGAAGAAATTCTTGGTAAGGTTTTTTCGTATATGTAGCTCATCTGGAATAACGCTGACAAAAATGCACAAACTCAGAGTGCAAATTGCAATCATGCTGCGCGGATAAAAATTTGAGGGCTTGCTTTCAATCCTAATTAGTCTCCTGCTATTTTCTTTTTGATGATTAATTAAACGATGATTGAGTTACTAAGATTTTTTTAGTTCTTCGTCGCCAATAATCAATTGTTTTTTGCTACTCTTTCATCGTTTCATGCAATATATGTCTTTATCATATTAAGATACCAACCAGCCAGAGATATTTGATCCTCCAAGCATAAAAGCTGGTACGTCGAATCTTTCATTCCATATTTCGATATTTTTCATAGATATTTGACTATAACAGATTTACTAGTAAAAAAAAAAAAAAAAAAAAAAAAATTAATAACAACAGCGATAAAAATACTGCCCGACAGCTCTTCTTATGTTTATTATAATTTTATTTATTCATTTTTTATTGGCAGAGTATCTTGAGGTGTTTCAGTACTGTGGCCAGGGTCGGGAGGGACGTATTTCAACAAAGCAACTAAGAGGAGCCATGCAGATGGTGGGACTGAACCCAACTGATTTTCAAATACAAACTCTTATCAATGAAGTGGAATACAAGGGGTCAGTAAATTACCCTCTCAGCCATTCATGGTCTCCCTGTGATACCTTTGTACATACTTATCCAAATAGCTCAAGAGCGCCAATGCCGTTTTCCTTTTTCATTGGAGAGCATCACAACAGTCAATCAAATAAAAAGAAAACATTACAAGAAGCCAAAAAAACGAGGAAACTGCTTAAAGCGCGAAAAAACTTTGGTGGCTAAGTCCAGATTAGCCTTAGTTTTGAATCTGGATTGGTTTTGAGAATGGCGCTTGTTTCTTGGACCAATCGCGGGCATCTCTCTTACTGGAGTGACATAAGTCAGTAGGCCATGCTATTGCTTTGCCCTCTCGCGATATACTCATAAAAAAATTACTAATTTGGTTTGGATGGTGCTGTTGCTCTCGGGATAACGTAAAGTAAACAAAAATTGGGCATCCCAAGACCGACAATAGTGATAAACTGGCATCTTTATTACTGAAAGAGTGCGTCCTATTAATCAGCAACTGCATATGCTTTTTTTTTTTTTTTTTTTTTTTTTTTTTTACAGGTGACGGTTACATAACTTTTTCTGATTTCATTAAAACCATCGAAGAATATAACCCGACGATAAAGTAGACCTTATGATGGCATTCAAGGTGTTTGACTGTAATAACAAAGGCTACATTGAGACGAAAGAGTTGAGAAGAGCTTTCATGTGTGAAAACAGGGTTTTGCCTTCACAAATGAACGGACGGACGGGGACAACTCTTAAAACTCTTGTGGGTAAAGGCTCTCCTTGGGGGCACTCGCTGGCTGCGGGGAGGTAACCGGAATCTATTACGGTTGCTGACTATCCTTGAGAGAATGACTAACGACAACAGGGTTGGCTCCAACGTAGATTTATTCTGCAAGCTCGACTACAATTTTGACCAGAACGGACCTGGCCAGGGCGGGTTCGACCCCGTTCTCTTCCTCACTTTCTCACCCAACTCCTAAGCTTTACAGAACAGTCCTATTTAAACCTAACGTACATGGATAACGTAATGTCATGAATAATCTAAAGGATCATGTAATCTACTAAACTATTGGCTAAGTAGGAATTTCGCCTTTTGCAACATTAATTACTTTCAAAGAGTTCCGGTGGATAACAGTTACACAAAAGACATAACAGGTGGCTGTTACAGTTTAACACTAATAACAACTGTTTACGGTGACTAAAGGAGAACTGGTAGCATTTACGCTTTGCTGATCTAAGCTTTCTACGTTGAATATTGTATTTTTGAAGCGCAAGCATGAAAGAACTCGATAACTAAAAATCACTAAAAATCCTATCGTTACACATGAGACTAAAAGGAATTACTAAACAAGAACTTGAGGAACTTCTGGCGACTGCAAATCTTGAAAAAGATAGGCACATATACTTTGAAGGTACGATGTGCCAGCTTAGCTTTTGATTGTTTTTGATTGTTGAAACGTAAAGTCAGATAAATACTCGTAACATGATATATATGATACTAGACGTCTAACAATCAAAAACAGCGACGACTTTAAAATCTTAAGTATACTTGTTTCCTAAAAAATTTTAAAAATTCATTGGAATGCTCTATGTCTCAGGAAGTTTTGATCATTCATTTTCAAACAATCATTTCTCTTTCCATCACGTCTTTAAAAGTCTTCCGAATTCTCCGAATATTCCGGTATTATTTTTACATTCATGGGAACACCCTCAACAATACTTTTGGAAGTCATTCAGACGTTTTAGAGCTTTGGAAATTTTGAGAGGGAAATCTAATTAAATGACTTTGAAAAGGCTTGAAGTTTTGAAGAATATCATCATACCTAAACGTCCTATCAACAACACGCGAGGTGTTTGAAAAATTACTTCTGGTAGTCCACATACAGAGTCTTAAAAAACATTGAAGGGATCGCCTTTATACTAAGGCATATGTGGACAAAATGATCTCTCATCTTGATCGTAAGTCATAATGAAGCATAAAAAAATTATTAAACACAAAAATTTATCCTCTCCTTTCTAGTCCCCGAGAACTGCCCAATTCCATTATCCTTTCACCCGATTGCCTTTCTTTTCCTTTTCAGAATTTTCAAGGCTGTTAGTACCACTAATCAACAGAGACCTGGACACAATTTGCTTGTATTAATGCCCTTCTGTTAAAGGAAGTAATATAAGATTCTCGAATCACAGAACGGCTGGACCATCTGTGAATCGTTTTGTTTAACAAAGATCAGTTTTTTTCATCTATACCGTACTCAAACTCAATCAAATGCCGCGGCGCCGGCAGTTTTGATATCTTTAGCGTTTCTGTCGATATCAAAAGAAGCAGTATCAAACATTGGAATCATTTTGAGTTTACGACAACATTCCCGACGCGTGCAACCCGCCAGTCGTCATCCATCTAAAAGAAACCAGAGCAAGCGAAGAATATCTAGAGAAGCAAACGTAACAAGAAGCATATCATTTATCGTTGCGGTTTACTTGATGTTTAATATACCAGTTTTGTTTGTGACAATTTATCATCAGATATTGGGTAGAGATATCAAGACTTATAACCACTACAGCTGGTCAGAAACTCTTGCTTTTTTCAACTCGTGCACAAATCCATTGGTGTGTTGTTGGAAAAGTCGCGAAATCCGTCAAGCGGTGAAAGCAGTAGTAGAAAGAATTTTCTGCAAATAGAATACTTTTAGATTGGAGCTCGAAAGAGATGTCAAGAGTTAAGACCACTACAGCTGGATGGCTCTTTCTATACTCAGCTTATGCTTGATGTATAGTTGGAATTACAAAATCCGTAAAACGCCATAGAATACTAACATGCAGAAGATGTTTGCATCATCCATTTGAGAGAAACTAAAACACAGATCTTCTCAAAACGTAGAGGACGCCAATCTGGGTGGCTACAGAAACAAGAAAATAGGTTGACTAAACCATCATATGGATTTTTTCAACCACAGATACAATAGCAGCCCATTTAAGAGCTGTTAACAAAACATTCACGTTCCAAATGATTAGAACATATTTCACAACTCGCGTCGAAGAAAAGAGGGCGTTGTACCTAACTCGCAGTCGAACAGCTACGAAGCGCTCATAACTGACAGCGCTTAAAGTCATGAAAGATACTCCAAAGCAAATAAAAAAAGCCAAATTATACATTATCCTCACAAAACAAGGAACCAAACGACGCTGGCTTTCCATGAACCTGTATGCAATATATCCAGGCTTGACTGTTACAGCTACAATCACATCAGAAAAAGAGCTAAGGAAGCAACAAATAGATTAGAGGAGTTGGGAGACGAGGACAACCAAAGATGGCGGTGACAATCAGTAAATTTGCAATAACGCCGACTGGAGCTGTAACACTGTTAATGATGGCTGTAAGAAGGTTGGCTGTAAACCGTTCTTGAGCTTTAT